ATAAATATTTTTACAATATTAATATTATAGAAACATAAATACATTTAATTCGTAATTATTTTATAGAATCGTATTCGATTAATTTATTTATCTTTAAATTATATTTATGCTTATCGATATTATCAATAAATATTTCGATTATATAAATTTATAAATTTTAAGAATTAATCATAAAATATTTTAAACAATTATATTTTTGTCATAATTCCGTATCTATTTTAATAAATACCTTTTAATTTTTCATACAAAATATAAAAGACATTTCGCATTTTAAATTTCAAAATCGATTTTTCGTAAAATACATATTATATATCATTCGTTCGCAGAAAACGGACTAAATTACCACCATCATCAATCAAACAAAAATTACCCGAATTCACAAACATACATTAATAGTGTCCAATAAGAAATTCCTCACCAAAATAATACAAAATCGACGTTATACGATATAATTTTCAATCTACCTACGTATTCGAACTATCGGCGAACACAAGCATATATACCTCAATGCGGACCATATCCGTAACTAAAACATCCCTTACGCGAAAATCAACAAATATTACTTAAGGCCAAGGGGGGGTGCGAAAGCTAGCGCTCCAGAATGGGAAAATAGAGGGCAGTCAAGGAGACGTCGCGGTGGCATCGTAAAGATCCACCTGCAAAGCGGACTATCGGAAGTCTGCGGGGAGTAGCAGAAAGCAGGACGCCTTGCACAAGTTAGGCGGGGCAAACGATTCCAGGTGAAGAGTCCTTTATATGTGGCTCTTTGCCCGGATCCTCTTGCGAGAGAAGAGAGACTCAAAGACGAGAGACAGAGAGGAGAGAGAGAGAGAGAGAGAAAGAGAGAGAGAGAGAGAGAGGAGAGAGAGATGAGAGAGAGATGAGAAAGAGATGAGGGAGAGATGAGAAAGAGATGAGGGAGAGATGAGAGAGATGAGAGAGAGATGAGAGAGAGAGATGAGAGAGATGAGAGAGAGAGAGACAGTGGGAGTGAGAGTGAGAGTGAGAGTGAGAGTGAGAGTGCGGCCGCAAGATACGCAATGCTAACCGCATGCCAAAGAGCGACGACAGGACGGAGTCGAACTTGCGAAGAGGGAGGGAGGGAGGGAAGGTGGGAGGAAGACAACGAGGAGGAGAGGGGAGGAGGAGGGGAGGGCGGGGGGGAGGGGGGGGGGCTTCGACCTGAAAGATCAGGGGTTAGGATTTGCACCCGATCGAAAGAAGCCTTGCTATCGCAAGAGTAACTCCAGCTAGCTTCGCTAGCTTTCGTGACTATCTTAAGATTTATACTATTATACGATAAGCAATTAACATATATAGTTTGACCGGGTCTCGGATACCCCGGTGACACCCCCTCAAATTGCCACAGCACTGCCTTCTCCAACTAATTATTTATGGCCTATACTGATATACATCAACAAATTGTCCTACAGCCAAACCGACCGTACAAGGTATGTACAGGTCGCTTCTTCAGCAAAACCATCTGGTCAATGGAACATACTGGAACAGAAATTGCGAGACAGTGCCAGGCATCCATCTCAAAATGTTCAAGGATTAGCAGGTGCCAATTTTCCATCGAATAAACACCGCCACATCGAAGCGGCCGGCTTCTCGGCTGGCCACCAAGAACTCAAAGGCCGAAGAACAGGGCTTCCTGGCGGATGGGTCGGCTGCTGGAAGCTCTGCCTTCCTGGCCTGTGCCTGGCGTTTTTCTCCACTTCTGGAGCGCCGGCCGTGCACTGCCTGCCGCTCTGGCCAAACCTATTTGATGAGCCTCAAAACCACGCATCCGCTACTGCTCTTGAGCAACGCCCTTCATGTCTGACGGCCGTGTCTCCGAGTGCACCACTGCGTTAAGAACTTACATTTGTCTCAGTCGGGGCTAGCGTGTCCGCTATTTTCTGGCAGCTCCTTGCCTCGGACTCCCAGTCTGGGTTACTGTGTCCGCCTTTTTGTAGCTCCTTAAGAGCAATACTCTGTCCGCAAAGATGCAGTTTTTTCAACTGTTTGGGGCCTACGGTGGTGTAATTTGTCGCAACTTTCAATAACTTATGATCACTATCAAATAAATATGCCGACCTGTTGTTCACACCAGTTTATCTATACATTCATCTTCTTGTAATTGCATCTTCCTTTCGCCAACTCATGTATGTGCTTGGATTTATTTTTCTTTCATGGTTCAACTTCAAATCAAGTAGCCCGCAGCCTCAAACTTTAGTCTATCTAATTGAGCACTCTTCAGCACACATACAATCCAGTCGTGCCAACGTCAACAGGGCCAAGAGACGCCAATAGCCATTCCGGCAGTCCCAAAAAGGAACTTGGAACCTGCACCTCAGGAGAGCATGATCATAATCATATATAACTCACAGACATGGACGAGTAGATTGGTTTCAATCATGGACAACAACAAGTCTAATAATATCTAATAATTACATATTTCGTCAGACCTCGACCTCCTGAAACCGTGGACCGCACAATGCTTCAAGTACACGCATTCTCATCTTTTGATCACCTTTCCGCCTTTCTCCGATCCTAGGAAAAAAGTTGCCTTTGCAAGCAGCCACTTGCAGTTCTTCTTTGCACGTCCATCATTTGGGGAGCTTAACAATGCACAACTTTTTCGAACATTGTCTCAATTGCTACTCACGCACGCCCGTGGGGCTCTTGGATTTCAACAAAAACAGCCGTGCGCTGCAGTTTGCACCCATACGGCCGCCCAACGGCCCCCCAAGTACTGCGGCTGCGACTGTTTGCTTCTTCTTTTGGACCTCGGGGCTCCCTAACCCCCAAAGCTTCTGCACCACTGCAATGCTGTCAAGAGGCTTGGTGGTGGATGATAAGGGTTGATCGGCTCAATGTGCTCAGGGGGCCCAGTGATGGCTGTCTCTGGTAAGGCGTAATCCTCAATTTAGTGGCTAAGTGTGGGAAGTTGTCATCTGAACGCCAAAAACGCAGGGACTGGGACTCCAGCTCCAGAGCGCTTCTGTGGCGGAGCGCCCGCTTTCCATCGCTGGCCCTATGGCTTTGCAGGACAGGTTCGTCCGAAAGACTTGCGGCGATCACAAACTAAGTAAGTCACGCTCTCTCCGTGCCAGCTTCTTGGGCCTTGCCAGCTGGATTGTCAGAACCACATCAGCCAAAGGCATCTTGGGAATAGGTGGGGGGCAAGAACCCTTTTCGAATACAGGGCCCACCAACAACCTTAGCAGCTGCATGTCAAAGTATAACACCTCCCTTGACAACAAAAGTCAGAAGTCATCTCTTCATCGTCACGATTTAAAATTCTGACCTTTTGCTGTAGGTTTTAGAGAAACTGGAATGGAAAGGAAACTGTACGGAAGGAACAAAAATGTATGAACTCTGAACAATTAGTTTATGATAATTTATGTATGTACTATTATGTATTTATCCATACGTGAGAAGTGAGGGGACGAACGCCAGCCCTCGCAAACGCTTAGAGCAACGTGCTTGACCCAAGGCTCAAGAAACGCCAGCAAGCGAAGGGAGAGTTTCCAACACTCCCACTCCCACACAGACCCCCTGGTAATACTCATTTCGTTTGCAAGATTCAGTGAAACTGCTCGAAGATGCATCTGCCGTGTCTTGCTTTGTCAAGGCAACCATCAAACAAAACGCGAAAGGGCGCTAACAAGAACTCCTCCCTAAGGTCTTTTCTGGGGGGAACTTGGTGTGCCTTCTTTTGTCCCGAGACGGCTCTCAAACAAATCGCAAAAGGGCACCAACCAAGAAACTCCGACTTTCTGCATCTAGATTCTAGATCCACTGTCTCTTCCCACGGCTGCATCGACAGTTCATCTCAAGCAGCTACGCGTGAAGTCGAGCCATGCGTAAAAGGAAAGAACATAGAATGATTTACGGAACTCTAGATGCACAGAGCTGAAGAAACACCCAGAAACCACAGTCTTGAGGGCCGTCTTGGAGCAAAAGAGGGCACCTCTGAGCAAGGGTGCTAACAGCAAGGTTCCGTGTCGGGACAAAACAAGGATACTTCGAAGAAATCGCTGGAGTTTGGGCTGCTGGCTCCACAAGCTAATGAAAATACTGTAGGTCATCATATTGTTACCATACTGGAACCGACAAGTTTGCGAAAACGCTCCAAATGCCGCCGTCAAGCGGCGGGCTCAAACAAAAACGGACTTGCTCATGAAAGACAACCTAACAAGGGAACCATGCGCAGTTTCTTCATGGGTATGAACCTTTACATTGCTTTTGTTTGCTTTTGCTGTTGTTGTCTCTTGTTTGACTGCCGCATGCTTCTCCTTTGAACAGCTGTGCCTACCCTTTGATGTAGAAACTGTATACAACTGCAAAACTTGGCGCTGAAGCACTGCCCAATGCCCAACGCCTGCCCCCCCCGCATGTGACGGGACCTGTAGCGTCATCGCATTTTCACACTCGCTGCACATGTGGCGGTGAGCTACGTTAGGACTGTCAGTGAATTCGCGCGCGAAGGTCTTTGGGTGAGCACATTTTTGGTGTTCCGCTGCTCTGTTTTACTGCGTGTGTGCGCCGACCAGGAACAGCATGGAACATTGGAAGACGCAAAGCAACCAAAAACAAAAGACGAGCTACAGAAGAAGGCCCTTGTTCTGCTCGCGGCCTAATTAAACAAAGGCTGCAAGGACCCTGGGTGAGTGCACCTTGACTTAGATTGAAAGTGCCATTGGCCAGCACAAGTGGTATTATGCTTCATGATGAACGAACATCTTGGTCGAGGCATGGCGTTGCCGCTCTGTCCCAGTGTCCTTGACTTCGCTCGGCAGCGACCGGCTTGCACTATGGATGCATGAGTTTGACGAGGCTGCGCCCCTGATGAAAAAGCGTTGGCCAAACGGCCAGTGGACCCTTCCTGCTTCTTTCCTTCTTTTTCGTTCTTTTCACCTTCTTCCTGTCTCTTCCTTCTTCTTGCCTATTCCTGCCGCCTCCTCCAAAGCTAAGTGTAGTAAAAAGATACGAATAAGCAGCAAACACTCACAACGTGTCAATTCCACTACCGAACTTTCCTGCATCTTACATGACCCTTTTTCTACATTCTTTCCCTCTTCCTCGCTCTTTTACCTTTCTTCTTCTTGCTTGTTCCTTCCTTATCTTTCCTTCTTCTTCACCCATGCCATTGCATCCTTTACTCATTGCATCCTTTACATCATGACAGCCCCCTCTGATTGCATCACTTGCATCCACAGCCTCCTCAAAACTTACAATTTTCCTCAATTTTTGTACACCCACTTTTGGCCGGGTTTTCCCAATAAATTCTGATTTTTGATCTTCCAAAGCTATCCATTTTGCAACGCCCCTTTTCCCAGACCCCCAAATACTCACTTCGTTCGCTATTCAGATCTTCAGCCTAGCCTACGGCTGGCTTTCGTAATACATATTTTTTATTTGTGTTATATCTTCTAAAAATAGACATCCAAATAGGCTACGCTGAAGTTCTGTTAGGCGAACGAAGTGAGTTCTAGGGGGTGTGGAGGGGATATCGAGAAAAAAACCGGTGTTGCAAGGGTGAACCCAGAGCCTGCGGGGGGAGAGCAAACAATTGTTGGGCTATGACGGCCTTGGTGTTGCGAGTGATGCTGCAACGGTTGATGCTAGCATCTTTTGCATTCTTTTGCATCATCAAGTGGGCAAATCTGAAGCGATTGCGAAGGTTTCTGACTGATCAACCTGTGAAGAGTGAAAAAGCATTGCGCTTTCAGCAAGTGCAGGGATAAAGACGTTGAGCAAATGAGGAACACATGGGACAAAATTGGTGGAAAGTGTTGGCCCTCAGGGCACGGCTGTGCAACATTGACCGAAGCATTTGTGACCGCATGTTGTCCGTTATCGAGTGACTCTAGTGGATTGACTGTTCTGATAAGTGACATCTGGGCTGGAAAAGCACCAGCGCTGTGTGTTGCTGCAGGTTGAACTGCGCCCTGCGTGAGCCTGGAGGCGGAGGCTGCTGAGGCCGTGGGGGTTGACCTGCAGTCTCACCAGCTGACGCCCAAATCCCAAAATCTAGAAACAACTGGGCGCGCCACCTGGTGACCATTGTGAGCCTGCACAACAATCATTCCCTGGATACACAATGAGGATGACATACTCCTTTGCATCTCCAATCCTTTAGACTCATGCGACAATATGCTCAGGTGATTTTCGGTTTCCTACGACGTCAAAACAACTTCGTGCCTACAGGTGACGCAAGCAACAAAAGACTGGATGCATGACCAAGCCTTGCATGCCAGCAACGGCACCTTGGAAACAATGTCACATCGAAGCAAACTTTAGAGGCTTTAATGTATCGTCTATATAATACTATTGCCTACGTGTTTCACATCAGCACCTCTACGTGCATATCCACGTGCGCAGATATGTTTTTTAATCAACATTTAGTAATTCACCCCCGAGAGAATGCACCTCTGCATGCCCAAGTGAAGGTTGTGGCTCTCACGGAAAGCACAACATGAACGGGCAAGCTGCAAGCTAAGGTGTACGACCTGTCTGCCTATTTTTCAAAGTCTCTGGTGTCCTCCCTTTGGCAACTGCCCGTCGTGTGGTTGTTTGATATTCACATTGGGCCCCGGGTTCATCTTCCATCCCGAGTGAACCCAACCGTGTACAAGCACAAGATCTTTATCCACTAAGCATTCCAGTCGCTGTCAGTTAAACTGCACCTGAAGCACCGTAGCCTGCACCAGCAGCTCCAGCTTGCTGGGGGTAGCCACCATACCCTCGTGCGCTTTGCTATGGGGGTAGCCGCCAACTCATTCACCAAAAAAGATCAAGTGAATTCGTGATGTTCCAACATGTTTTATTTCTTGTGAAAACACCAGAGTGGAGTCAGCCTCCATAACTGCCGTAGCCGGCCTTGGAAAAGAACTGCTAGCCTATTCCTAAATGGGCAGCCAATCCCCAAAAATGACATGTCTGAGATCCACACCACAGGCCTGGACGTGAACACCAAGCTTTAACACAATCGATGCCCTAGACTTCGAGCCGAGCATTTTTACTTATTCTTTAATATATAAGATTATTAACACATGAAACCATATGACACGTTCTTAGTGTTGTAAGGCAATGCTCGATGCTTTCGACTTGCCTCTGAGGTTGTGGAGGAGCAGGGAAATCTCCAGGCGTTAGATCCGGATTCCCTTGCGGCCGCAATCAGCTTTGACTTTAAGAAGCAACTACATGCCTGAAGTGCTAAGGATGACACCCCAGTAGCAGTGTCTGTCTTTGTCCCCTGCGATGTTCTTCAGGTAGCCTTCACAGCAAGCTTCCAGGTTTTCAAGTGAGGGGTACAATTTTTATTGGCATTCCAGGGGGCAGCATAAGCTACTCATTTCCTAGACTTGGTTGAAACTCAATCAAGCTCAGCGGATCAGCTCAAACGGCCTTGAGTGAAATTTCCACAAGACCCTGCCGGCAGCTCCCCTGTGGCTTGGTCAAGAGTCTCCATCTGCGCCAAGATTTGTTCGACCATTTTTGATCGAGTGTGGTGTATGTTGCCAGTCGAAAGCTGCATGTCTGAAACCTCCATCCTGCCTGCTGCTGTGGTGAGAGCTTTGCCCCCAGCACAGCAGCTATCGCAGCAGGCACTCCAGGGCCAAACAAACCATTGTCAGAACCAGCACCTCCCCAACCAAACCTTCAAATGGCAGCGTGGAGCTCCGAAATCAGCTCACAACATCTCACAACCACTTAGGACGCCGGCAAAGGGCTGTTGGTGTCAGGGACCTGGTGCCACTTGAGCTTCCAGAAGCTTCAGTATATCCATGGTTCTTGCAAAATCTAGCCCAATGATGTAAGCATAATGGCATAATGCATTCTTTGACAACCCAAGACCCAAGCCTACACTTGCATCTGAGGCTTGAGCAAGGGTGCCTGCCGTGTTCGGCCCTGTGTCTTTCCTTGTGAGCAAGACGTCAAAAAATATTGCAAGGCACTGGAAGTGGTTGCTGAGATTGACGTCATGCTTGGTTCTCGGCCCAAACAACGCACCCATGTTGGGCAAATTATGTCAGGAATGGGATGCTACCACATCTCAAAATATCTCAAGTCATTGCAAGGTCTGCCGCATGGCTGCATCGTGCCTTCTTACACCCAAGGGCTAAGAATCGGGACTGTTGTTTGATCGTTGTTGCAGGTGATGTGGAGATATTTGTAAGTACAATAGTATACATACAATTACTCTAATAGCCAACCGTAGAGTAGTGATAAACACGCACACCTCTCAACTCTCCCTACTCGAGTTCGTGAAGTCATTACAGCGTTGTGCAGTGCTTTGCTGCCAATTAGTCGCTGAGAAGCAGCATGTCAAACATCAAGAATCAAACCAGTCAATCTGCCGAAGCGGAGCAATACACAAATCATCAACGATCGATAGCAACAGAAACATCGGCAGTAACAAATCTCCTTTTTGTCTCATGTCATGTCTCCTCTGCATCTTCAGCCTCGGCTGCCTCCGTTGCCGCAGCAGCGGCCGCCTTGGATTTGGCCTTGACCTTGGCTTTGGCCTTTGCACGCCAGCCCAAAGAACGGTCAATTTCGGCGTTGGCTCCACCAATATCATCGAGAGTCACCTATGCAGGGCACAGGCAAGAATAGCCGAGCAGGTTGGCACTGGCAACAAACAATCGAACTCCACACATGCACATAAGTGCTTGCATCTGAATGGTGGCACTCGACAGCACTTAGCGAGTCCTTAGCCTTTGCAGCCAAGGGACAGCCTGCTTTTCAACAAGTGTGAAGTAGTACCCCCGAAGCTCCATTAATTCTTTGGATGTGCCACGCTCCACAACATGCCCTTCACGAAGGCAAATAATCTCATCCTCGGAAATGAAGTGTGAAGTCGTTCGTCTGCAGGAAAAGGTCGCTTTAGTTCCCCCAAAGTGCATTTTGCTCTTTGCGTTGCTGCAGCCGCGCTGGCCTAACTAACCAGCACAAACAATCAACAATCGCTAAACAATGGTAAACACACGTCTTTGAAAGGGATTACTGAATAACCGGAAGTGGGGCCATGATCAACTTGCCGTTTTAATCCACACCTCACCTCCGGGCACGAGCGACAACCCAGCAACCCCGCAACCTGAAACAAGGATCTGCTTGCCGCACTGTCGACAGTCTATGTGCAATGACCTCGGGCATCATCCATGGTTTTTGTCTGTTTGACGAAGTGTGGCAAACAAATTCTTACCATTACTATGTCTTAAGCCTTCCTCTTCCTCTCGACAGCTTTTACTTTCAGGAACCTCGCAAATACTCACAAATAATCGGCAAACGACCATAACACTGCTTCCACTGCTGGCCACAAGGCGATCCAGGGCCTCAAATCGGACAGGATGACTACACTGGTCACTGGCAACTACACCACGGGGAGTGTTAAGTACTGCACACTCAACAAACCTCAAAAGGATACTGACGCTAATGTTTTTGATATTCTTGTAATTGCAAGGTTCGGGCTTCCTAGTTCTGCCATCGACGATGCCGGCCTCCTGTACAATGGCTTCGCTCTCCGCATCCAATGCGCTCGTGGCCTCGTCCAAAACTAGGATCCTGGAAAGAACTGTGCGGTTTCAATCGGGTCGGTTGTTGATCAGAGTGTAGAGTTGATGTAGGAGATTTTGTGAATCAATATTGCCTGCCGCAAAGAAGAAGAAGTAGTAGTAGTAGTGGTAGTAGTGGTAGGAGCAGTGATCGTCGTAGTAGTGGTTGTTGTCGTCGTCGTCGTCGAAGCAGTAGTGGTAGTAGTAGTGGTGGTAGTAGTAGTAGTACAAGGAGTAGTAGTAGGAGCAGTGGTCGTCGTAGTAGTCGTCGTCGCAGAAGCAGTAGTGGTGGTGGTGGTGGTGGTAGTAGTAGTAGTAGTACGAGGCGTAGTAGGAGCAGTAGTAGTAGGAGCGGTGGTAGTAGTCATCGTCGTCGTCGTAGAAGCAGAAGCAGAAGCAGAAGTAGAAGTAGTAGTAGTAGTAGTAGCAGAAGCAGTAGCAGTAGCAGTAGTAGTAGTAGTAGTAGTTGTAGTAGTAGTAGTAGTCGTCCTAGTAGTAGTAGTAGTAGCAGTGGTAGTGGTAGTAGTAGTAGTAGTAGCAGCGCAGTAGCAGTAGCAATCGTCGTCGTAGTCGTAGTCGTAGTCGTCGTCGTCGTCGTAGCAGCAGCAGCAGGAGTAGTAGTAGTAGTAGTACCCTTTTGAACAAAATGTTTGGGGCAATGAAATCGATGAGCTTTAATAGGGGGTAAAAAAGGGTTTTCAGGTCTGAGTTCCGTGAACCAAGCAAGCCGTAGTACCGTAGAAGGAATAGCAAAGCAATGTAAACGTAATTGTAAACATTTTTCCTAGGGCTCCAAGTTTACTTATTAATCGCGCCCCCTAAACAATTCGTATTACTTACTTACTCGGGGCTTGTGTACTACCCCTGGAAACATTGTTTGGGGGAATGAAACCGATGAGTTTTAATAAGGGGTTTCAAAAAAATGTCAAAAAAGGTCTTCAGGTCAGAGTTCCGTGAAGCAAGCAAACCTAGTAGTAGTAGTAGTAGTAGTAGTAGTAGTAGTAGTATGAGGAGGAGGAGGAGGAGGAGTAGGAGTAGGAGTAGGAGTAGTAGTAGTAGTAGTAACAGCAGGAGCAGGAGCAGCAGCAGCAGCAGCGGCATCAGCAGCAGCAGTGGTAGGTAGTCGTTCTAGTTAAGCACGGATTTTAAAGGGCAACGATTGCAAGAGCGTAGGCAAATCAAGAAATCTTTTAAGAACATCCTGGGTGAAAAAACTCATTATTCCTTCCCAATAAACTAATCAGGGTGTGTGAATAGTTTGGCGAACACATTTTTATTATGCCGTCCCATTATACTAATTTGGATGCGACATTAATCTGAAAATACTCCAAGTTCTGATGTGCATTGCCGGTGCTGCACCTTTCATTTTTCAGCGAAGCAGCGTGCATCGTGATGATCTAACGATATCCAACGTGACACGTGTTTTGCTCAGACAAACCAAAACCTCGCCCTCTCAGCCCGTCTCGTCCTAGGCTGCATGAGGATGGCCCGTGCCACGGAGAGGCGTTGCTTTTGGCCTCCAGAGACTTGACCTCCACGATCTCCGACGTTGGTGTCGTAGCCACCCGGGAAGTTGGAAATGAATTCCTCAAGCAGCAAAAACGCACACACACAACATTCACCAAACTTGGCAATTTGCATCAAGCAATGTTCAACGTGTCAATGTGCCAGCAAAGGTGTTTCTATATTTCTTCTATCATGCCTTGAGCTGGAGAAGGGGATTTGCAAGGTGCTTTCGCGCATGAGGAAAGCATGAAAGAACCATCGAAGGCTAAATGGATGGTGTGTGGAGAAAGGGGGTCAGCAAGAAAGGCTTAAACGAAGTTAGTGCATCAAACATACCGTCCATAAAGTTCTGCAAAGGTTTCTGGGTTTTTGTTGCGGTTAGTTTTCCATACCAGTAGTTTTCCTACTGGCCCACCATTCCACGAAATGTCCACGAATAGCCCTGGGTTGCACGAATGTCCCAGGCCTTCCACGAAGCTCTTTCTGTGCACTACCCGGGCCCTTTCGCTGTAGTGCAGCCTAGCATCGTGTGCACATGCAGCCTTCGCAGCTGCAATCATTTGGTCTTCAAAATCCTCAGGGTGGCATGATTCTGGTTGTCACATGTTGTCACTTGGCAATCTGGCCCGTTTTTGAAACAATTTTCCAATCGACTTGGGCAATGTGGAGCTAAGTAAACATCTTGTGAGGCATCATCATATGGCTAAAGGATTTATCAGTATATAGTTGATTGTAATGATTATAGATGTATATAGGCTATATAGGTACCAGTATATAGATTGTTGTGAAGACTCACAAAGAGGCCTGTGAGACATAGATAATGAGATCATATGAGATCTATATACGCGTATCCACAAAAAACATCAAACTATGTCCTTGGGATCGGATTCAATACGGCACTGAGGCAAACCATAGAGCAAATTCTGGCGCACAGAGGTATTAAAAAGCACCGGCTCTTGAGCTACCAGCGCCTGACAAAGCGGAACTTGTTTGAACACGATCTGTTCTGGTGCCACTTGGTGCCTTCGATATCCCAGCGGTAGTGCAAACTGAGCTTGGGACCATGTGCCGATGCAAATGGGTCAGTTCCCAGTCTTTCAAGGGCACTCCGTCGATGAAAATTGTTCCCTCAAAGGGATCGTAGTAACGGAAAATGAGCTGCCTAAGATGCTCTGCCACTTGCAGCTGGCTGTACAATGAAAATCAATGCGCCCTCGCCAAGCTGCACTGTGGTGCTCTTGCCAGACCCAGATGCACCAACAAGAGCGGTGGTTTTTCCAGGCTGCAGTTCCATCGACAAACCGTGCAGGACTTTCCTGAAGTCAGGCTCTTGTTGGTGCGTGCTATGGTGCACAAACATGTACAAACAAAACACAAAATGTTTGGGACATGATAACTGTTTACCCACGGTTACCACTGGACACCCCCTAACAGTGTCTATGAAGGTATAAAATTAATGCATTTGCAATGATTTGCGAGATTTTGATTTTGTGTTGACACCCGCAAAGACTGGGGCTTTAACTTGACAATCTCCCCGCAGATTGGGTGAGTTGTCCTATGTTGTCCTTGATTCAACCACTGTCTACAGTGACCATGGACATGCAAGTCTTCCCAAGACTTGCGACATATGTGTCACCGCACAGCCAACTCTTTAGTTTCTTCATCGAAGTGGCTGCTCTGGCCGCGTCGGATACGCAAAAGATACATCTTCGAACACCACATGCCCTTCGACAGGTCCATCATATGTACCTACCAAACGAACTCGACAAACCGCGCACTGCTCTTGCCCTAATTCCTTTCTTTAATTTGCTATGCACTGCGTAATGCTCTTTCAAAGCGTGCCAACACAACCAGCAAAAAGTGTTAGCCCAAAGAAAAATACTTAGACGTTGAGTGCGAAAGAGAATGAACTGCACCCGCCCGCATGGTTCGGCCTGGAAAGATTTTTGGCTGTTGGTCCAGAAATTCAAAGTGCTCGGCAAGGCTGTCACTGGTATTGAAGAGGTCCTGCAACGTGGTTTAGTTTGATTGAGCCGTTTTCGACTGCATAGCCGTCTACATACTGGTTTATTCATGTTTGTTCAGTTTGGCGCGTTGATCCTCCACTTGAGACTTGAAGCTGTTCACTTGGTGGCCAAGTTTGCTCACAAGCAGCAGGAAGGAGGTCATCTCTGCCGCAGAGGAATCCACATTTACCCAAACAAGGCCCAGCCACAGCGAGACACCTTGAATCACGCACCAATGCTAAACTTGGATTGACACACGAAACATCCTCATTCAAGAGCCCAACAAACACAGCTGGCTTTCTGGCAAGAGTCAGTAGATTGCCTGCTGCAAGGTGTCAGCGGCAACCTGTGCGACGCCCTGTGTTACAGTCAGCCTGATCGCGAAAAAACACAACACCGCTGCCATTAAAAGACTCCTGAGCAATTCATTCAGCTTCTCGATTGCAAAAACAACGATATGAAAACGTGTGCAATCAGGTTGCTTCATGCCAGCAGCCTCTTCCAGCGATAATTTCTGCAAGGATGTATGCCTTATTGAGTTTGGGCCACCTTCCTCTGTTTCTTTTTGTTTCGAGCATGAGCTTGATTGACCAAAGTGCAGAACGCACATAACAAACACATGCAAATGCATGCAAACGCTTAAGCCTTCCCACTCTGATGGACTCATGGTTTCACCCATGCTTTGCCCGTGCTTTGTCTGGTCAAATCTCTATTGACTCTATATATTGTTTAGCCAAGCTTCCAATCCTGGCACAGGACGCAAAAAACAAAACTATATGAATGTCAAAAACAGCATGGTTATATAATGCAAAACTAACTTATCATTGTGCTCTTGACGCGCTCAACAACCTGAATGGCAAACCACTTGATGTGTGACAAAGGTTTGAGCATGCCCATCCTCGCGCGAGAAGGTTTTGACCTCAACATCCGGCAGTCACAACTCACAACATGACAAACGACTTGACCCATCATCTTTAATGCACTTGAAATCCCATTGATGTCAACTCCCCGACTACTACGGGTGCCAAGTGGCGACCTTGATCATTTCGCACGCTTCTGCAACAACTCTATTAGCCACTCCCTCCAGACCACGTTCCCGCCGCAAGCTGCCTTTGGCTTGCTTTCCTGGGCAATTTTGGCTTAAGCAGGGTGCCCAAAAAGGTCACAAGCAAGGCATGTGAGAGCACTACTGAGATCTCGTCTCAGGTAGGCTTGAGCTGCCACTTGAAAAGCAGGAACAGCGGTAGCGTACATGAAGGTCATCAGCGGGGAGATCCTCAGATGCCGCAGTTCAGGCTGGTTAATTATGGCACTTGCTTGAACTTGATTGTCAGCACTCTCCAACCAGCAACACAACCAACACCAATGTGTCAGTGACTTGGGGCCTTCCCCACTGCAGCTCTGACAGGCCCTCCAGTTTGGTCCGTCGATGGGTAATTGCCCAACATTGTGTCCGCCTGAAAGCTGAAGCTCTTTGATTAGTTGCATGGTGAAAGCCGGGGCAGGGTGGCTCGTTTGGTCTTCTGGAGAATCTTGGATGTGCCAGACACAGGTCATGCACTGCGTGGGCGGCGACATCGTTGACCAATGCCCTGAAGAGTTTCTTGATCGGAAGATAAGATCTTTGATGGGGCATACACATGTATACGGATGTTGGCAAACCCTGGATCCTGGACACACACACACATAACCAGCAGGTCTTCCAAACAACTGCGGGCGCACGAACACTTGCGAGAACGGCCTGGCCTCACAGTAGCAAGCAGGTTGAGAAGAGCTGATACACCAGCTGGGGGCACTTCCGTGGAGCCGTTGTTGCTTGAACAAAACCACGTTCTCATGCAAGAAGATCGACACTGTAAGTGCCAAATGCATCCAAACGCTTCATTACCAGGTTGCCCGATCTGGGTGTCAGCAGAGTTGTTAACATGCACAGCCTGTCACTTGGAGCATTGTGGATCCCAACTGTATAGGAGTGGACACTGCTCCCGGGCATGCATTGAACGATGTGCCAAAAAGATTCTCTCAGGGCAGCGTACGTTTTCAGCCAAACCTGGGATGAACACCTAGGGAACGCCCTTACGACACGGCTGGATGAAACCTTGGACTGACCCCACGGAGGAGAAGCATGAAACTACGATGAAGCAAGGAAGTTCACACAAGCTTCCCTCGAGCTTCACCCAGCGCTCCAGGCTAAGAACATGACTCAAGGTTCGGCAGAAATACTGTAATATAATGTCTTTTTAACCCTGGAGACTGTGGCCACTTTTGGGGTCTTGAATGGTCTTGAGTGAGCAAGGGAAATGCAAACGGAATGATGAACGGAGACCAAGTTTTTGATAATGCAATAAGGTGAGGTTTTGCCAGCCTGTCGCATTGCTGTAGAAGGCTTTGTTTTTTTTGGCTGGATGTTGGAGACACGCAGTTTCATCAAAAAGGGTTTTGCTCCATCTTCACCTGTCCATAACTCTGCAATATTGCAGTACGGCAACCTGTTCTTGGCGGAGGTAGGAGTAAATTGATTTGAGCATCCAGCCAACCAAAGAGACCACCAACCTGCTCCTGAATCTGCCGAGCTTCGAGTAGAGGAAAATCAGCGATGTCAAGAGTTCTGTGAGTGTTCTTACCATCGAGGTCACCATGAGGGGCATGCTATCCATAACCTGAGATGTGCTGCCTATCCACCTGCCATGGGAGCCATGCGATTTGAAGTGCTACGGGGTTTCCCATCAAACAACGTTGTGGCTTGACCAAGGGCCAAGTTGTGACATTCGGTCTGCGTATGCCTGTGCCTGAGCACTGCAAGCCAAGTCGCCATTGGGGAAGCTTTGTTTGCCATGACTCTCGCAGTCTGCTTCTCAAACTCTTCCTAAGATTCAAATCAGCCAAGATCACTGGCTTGTCATAATTCAGAGGGTCCTGTGGGAGTTCATCATTCGGAGCATCGGGGGTGCCCCTCCTTGTTGATTGATTTGAGCTCAGAAACCAGGTCTTGAGCTAGCAAGTGGTCGAAGAGCTCAGTCCGTGATTGAACTCGATATGAGTCCTGCATCACGCTGCCTCAACAGCTTTTGTTCCAAACTCATCTCGGGTTCCATCTTGACTCTCACTTCAGACAAAGTTTTCTGTCGTGACTTAGATACTCAAAACCATTCACTGAACACGTCCTTGAATGCTTTGGTGACGTGCTGGGAGATGACGCTCACTGTGCCCTTCAAGACGGCCAAAAGCATCAGGCCCAAAATCAAGCTCTTTGCAAGTGAGAGTCCTTAGACAAGTGGCATCGAGTGGGCGACAAACGCCGCCTTCTGCTCTCATATCCTCATTGATGCTGCTGGTTGTAAGCACCGTCAAGATTCGGGAACCACACCCAAACGTCCAAGAGCATATGAAGTGCAGAAAATGACTGTCCTTCTTCACCTCCTGCTCGCCTGTCAGTCTCTGTCTGACCAATCACATGCAAAAGTGCATCAAATGTTCATCGCTGGTTCAATGGACTCTTCTTTGACGCAATCGACTTCTAGGATTCTAGGATTGTATTTCCAGACTTTCCACTGCCCAACAAGTGTGTCAAGAAAGAACCCAGCCAAAATGCTCATCCATCTCAGCCCCGTGCTAGCATTGATCAAGGTGAAAACTGCCCCGGACAGGACTGTCTTCACGCTATCGCAGGTGCTCATCACAGCAGCAATGCCAGCAGTAAACAAGGTCCTGCAAGGCTGTGGCAGAAAAGAAGCCCGCAGAATCCTGGAATATGAACAGCCACACCGGCGGAACCTGTCTATCAATTCCGGAGCACCTTTACAAAACACCCGGCATCGTTGCATAGACTGGCATTTCTTCAAAGCCTTTGGGTTGGTTGGGCCAGAGAGGTCCCCTCTGGGATCACAATTTGAGTGCCTTGAGCTGCAGCATCTTTTAGTCGGCACGTGGTACTGGTATTTAATACTGAATTGAGCAATTGTTAAGAAAGGAACCTGTAGGCACAACGTGGGGTTCGGAAAGCTCAACACACAACGTTCATCTGCCATTGTCAGGAAGGATGAAAGCTTCTTGATGTGACACATGTTTTGCTGCGTTCATGGTACTTGTAGCATCTTGTAGCCAATACATAGTCACTTCTAGGAGGAGCCTTAAACGCCTAAAGCGACCTCGGGGAGTCCAGTCCTGGCTAAATGACGTCGTAAGTCCATCATTGCCAGCAAGCGCCCCAAAGTTGGCCTCGCCGACCTCACATGATGGGAGCCGTAGCTTAGCCGTCGGCGAAGCTGAAGCTGGGTCTGCTTCAGCCGCTTCACTTCTTGAATTCATTAACACTTTGTGATGCTGGGTCTCTGGCTGGATTCTTTCCATCGTCTCTGCAAGGGACATGGACATGTCCCGCCAGCGCTTCAGGTTGAACTGGCCTTGCTCCTTAGGATCAGCTAGGAAGAGTCATGGGGTGATTAGAAACCTGCAAGCTGTGGGTCCACTGAATACAGAAAACCCATTGACTCCATCCCATCAGGTTCACCTTTCAACTCATCACCCGGCATGAACTCCCTCCCCTTTTCAGCCAAAGTGCTGATGCCAACTCTTCGCATTTTTTTCGCCGCGGGTGAGGTCCCCAAGCTTTAACTCGTGAGGTAGACACCAAATCCAGGACAATGCCTGAGGGTTGCATTTACGCTTCAGTGGGCTTCTCAATCATGCTTAGTTGAATAGGATCCTCGGCGAGATGCTTTTTGGGGTTGTCCTGATGCAAACATTCGTTTCTGGAGTGTTGCTTCTTTGACAGCACACGGACCAAATCCAGACTGAAGGGAACACAGGCGTGACCCGCAAGTAGCCTGCGCCAGGTCTTTCTCCAGAGGGGAATTCCACATAGGACTCTCCTGGCCCTCCATTGACTTCCCGAGCCTCACAGGAATCCAAATTCCATTGGAACATGATCTGGTTGTTGCTTTACATGGCTTACACGTGTGTATGCATACTGAAGATGCACCCACCATTTTCTACAATACATGGGGCAGCAAAGCAACACTGCCCAGGTGTTGCTAAAGGCTTTTCGTGCAACACGCCAACTCGCGATCCAATGTTCGCCTCTCACGCCCTGCCACTATAAGTGGGGTGCTAGAGAGTAGGTATGTACGAAACACAACAAGTATGCACACAAGACACATGCACATCACAGATATCCAACACCGGTGTAAAACGCAGTGCGGATAGGTGAACATCAAAGTGAATTAATACGGCCGCGGCCACGTATGAAAGCACCTAGTTCGGGACATCAAGCCCAGCAAGATTTTGCTTAAGTCGGAGACATTTCTTGAGCTTTTGATAGAGATTATGTCTTTTATTGTAGGAAATATCTTGATATGGCGGCTCCGGGCAAATCTCAGCAGCTGCATGAAGGGACGGAAGCACTCGAGCAATTATATAGCGGGTACGATTGGTTTGGCACTGGCGAATACGTCGTCAAATTTTCCATGAGCAGGCCAGCAAATGGAAGTGTCGGTCGTGCAGAAATGCCGCCAACAAGACTACGGTGATATCCTAATCGTACCAAGGAGCTCGCATTTGTCTTCTTATAGCGGGGGTAAAACTCACACTGCAACGTATTTTCGAGGTAGCGCACAACAGAACGAAGAACCCCTGCTTGATGCCAAAAACTCCGCCTTTCAGCTGGTTGAATTTAATTTAGCTTCGGGTGAGTCGAAAGCATATGGTCGAGGCAAACTATCAGATTTAGATGAGATCCAAATTGGTAAAACATGTCCTGTGAAGATTGCAAAGTAAAACGCTAACTCATACCACGAAATACCGAAATCTCCTGGGGAAGCCGGTGTTTCCTTCGATTTCCATTCAAGTGTATGAAACATGCGCCAAACCTTAAAGGCAATAGAAGCTCCACAAGGACATGCTTGTGCAACAACTTCGGGAAGTTCACACTGGAGTGTCCAACCCACCGCGGAAACTCGCCAAGTTTGAAGAGTGTCTTTAAAATTGGAATATGCATCTAATGTATTAAACTCATGCGTTGCAGCCGCATTCTTTTCCTTCTCAAGGTTCAATTTAGATCAATCTAGAATGAAGTGCATTTAACTCTGCAAGATAACGATAAATGGCAGAAAGAACATGCAACTGCAACAAATCCTATGCTCAATTATTTGATGCAATGCACCTGCACTATGCAGTTCAAAGGTGGTGGTAGAGTCATATCTACGAACCCTGCTATGATCGACTCTCAAGACTAACAACTTATAACATCTTATAACTATAATCAACATTGATCAACTATATATATATATAACTTTGTGTATTATGCAATCTAAACTGTGGTAATGGTGACGTCCTGAAGTCACAGTTTTGCAAGGTTTGAATATTCTCCCTACCAATCACTTACCAAAGAATCCATCCAGGTCAAAGACATGTTCCCAGTTTTCTGGTCCTTGCCTCCAGGGCTGCCAAGCGAGCAGGCCGCAAAAGGTCCCGCAAGTCTCGAAAGCAATCAAGCCAAGGATGATCTGACACAGAAAACCTATCGGTCGTCTGCGTGCGAGCTGGGGTGGTGCACAGTTTCTCTCTTTTGCCTCTCAGAGAAGCCTCAGTTCATTCTAGGCCTCTAGGTTCTAGGCATTTGGATCATTTAGAGAAGTCTCCACTTTGGGACATACCAGTAGGATCCAGTACTCAGTAGATAAGGCATCTGTCCTAGTCACATGATTTCACTTTGTCTGTCAGGATATCCTCCGCTCTCTCACTCTCTTTTCACGCCTCAAAGGGCCACATTGCCAGGCCATCTCTTGACCTCCTCCCAGGCGCTGGGCAAAGCTGAAAGCCGATTCACGGCCTCACGGTGATCGCACACTTGCAAGTCTTGCTAAATGGATCATCAGCTGCATGACAAATCACAGAAGAGCCCCTCGTTAAGAGCAAATTGCGTTGCTAGGGGCCCCAACCAACGAAGTTGCGGCTTTGAACCTCGTCGTCAGCGCTCCCTTCTGCCAGCCAATACACTGCCCACATCTTCCTGGGTGCCCAAGAATTCAAGAGGTGAGCAGCAAATTGTAAAAGCGGGATTGCTCAATGAGTTGAAGGACAACGACTTCTTTGCCTTGAAGCATTCAAAATTAGTGGGCAACAATCAGTGGCTCGAACATCCCCAAAAGCCATGCCTGTACCGTGGCTTTGTAGTGAGACCTGTAGTGTGTTTGGATCCTCGATGGGCTCATCCTGTTCTAGAGCAGGTGAGGCTCAGCTCGAGATCGTCCACAGGAGGGGCGGGGCCTTCGACAATGCCATGACAGCCTCACGTCCAGAGTGAAATCCATCTAATTCAATTGCTGATGGTGCTCTCACATGTATAAAAACCCGCTGCCGCTCTTGGCCCTGAAACATGTTCAACCGTGTTTGTGCTGAGTCTTGCTAAGTAACGGCCATTGTGCAAACGGAGTCCCAGCACTGCACATCCAGGTGCCGCTTTGAAGACCTCCACGTTCTCCTGTGGGATCAGCCGGAATCTAAAATTGCCAAGCTCCAAACACTTCTGAGCCAAGTCATGACATACCAAAACCGGAGGTGCATGACGTGGAAGCGATGTGGGCGATAGCAAAAACTGATTGGACACATCTCAAGTCTGTCCTCGAGCCCTGAAGACCATGTTCCACAAGCTTCTAGGCAGCGTCCTGTTCCACAAGAGACTTCGCACATCTGGTGAGACTTCGCACGTCCGCTGAGACGACGGATCAGCCTTTGTTGGTGCGCAGGTGTAGGGCTGCACCAACCCACCACCATTGGAGCAGTGGCTCATGTGTTACTTCCTTGGCAGCTGCAAGAACAACCCCACTTAGGTTAAACTCCAATCATTAATCTCCAAGGCATTCTGACAAAACGTTCTGTGCCACACTGAGCTTCTGTGATAAATTCCTTGGTCAAACAGCTGAATCAATAATTAGCTTCAGTTCCTCATTGCTGGACTTGAGAAAACATCACTGATTTGAATCCAAGAGGCATCTTCATTCAGAACCTTGGCACGTCTGCTGTTGGCACGCGGAGACTGTGCGTGGTACTGCTGCTGATGAAACTTGCTTTGATTCACCCTTGCTGCATCATAGTGCCAGGAAACCATCAGTCGTACACCATCGTCTTTCCTGTTCTTAGATTTTGCAGCTTTCTTTGCTCTGGCCACTGGTGGGCCCATGGCCCACACTGACCCATCGCTGTAGCTTAGCTCGATTCGTTGAATGGTGGCCTTGCCTTCGACCTGGGGAGAACTTCCAGGAGGGATTTCATTCAAGCCATACCCTATATAGAATCATTAAAGGTATGGAATAGAAATTATGTGCCTGCAACAGGTATTCAATCATGATGATTCTTGTTCTTGCAAAGAGTCTTAACAGCTGATGACAACTACCCATCATCTCGTGTTGTATATATAGCTCAGATTGTCAATTCTTTCTCTTGGTCCGTGGAGCTTTGACACTGGTGACTCGCAGCGGCTCCTCTGAGCTTGATTCCTGCGCAAGTGCTGAGTGATTCTGAGGATCCGGAGTTTAGATGAAGCAGTTGAACCATTGGTCATTTGTTCTCGGAGAATGCAACTACATTCCGAGCCATTCCCCCTCTCAGCAGCTCCCCAAACCTGTGCTGTAGACATGCGTGGAATGCAGCTTGTTGCATCAGCTTGGCGCTCGCCGCTGCCGTCAGCATTAGCCGGGTTTGGCACTTTTTCTGCTTGTTCATCCTCACGGAAACATGTATGGCCGACATCAACACGTGGGACAACTACCTTGGACAATTTGTTGGACGAACGTGACACTTCTTTCAGCGCTTAAAACCTGTCAGTGCCATTTGCCACACGCAAGCAAATGCTGGCCTTGTACAGTAGCACAACACCTACTGTGAGCATCCAAGATTCGTTTGCCGCCTTCTCGCTTTGAGGTGCCGGAGCAGGAGCGGACCTCATAGTGATGAATGACCTGTGTTGCTTTTCGAAATCCCTGGTGCCTGTTTTGTAATTAGTATATCTCTCTCCCTCTCTCTCTCTCTCTTCCTCACTGACACCCTCTCCAAGGAGACCAGCCAAAGCCAACTGAAAGATTCAACCGAATCTTTACATGTTTTGCAGGCTTAGTAGGGTGGAGGCCATCTCTGCTAGATTGGTTGGAGGCTATCGCGATTAGGTTGCTGTATGTTTTTTGTGACATGTTTTGCTGAACCTCTCTCGTAACCATCTCCGCTTCCTGGCAAAGATGCTCAGAAGCGGCAAGCAGGGGCTGCCTCCGGACTTCATCCAGCTCAAGGGCCATGTGGCAATAACGCGGCAGTAAGAAGGGTGGGTAGATCAGCTGGCATGTATTAAATGGCTAGTAATGGACACATTTGCTGAAACCTATATACATGCTGTGGCACCAGGGCATCCGATTTTGCTAGAATTTGTAAGAAACTGCTACACTGTTGTTCTACCACTTGATCTGAATTAGGTCAAAAGACAATGCGGCAAATGCACTGCACTTTGTGACACAAGATTTTAAGGAACTGGAAACTTGAGTGAGCATGGCCATCACCAGTCGGCAAGTAACGCACGTGGAATGTTGAAACATGTGGAAGGGATTGACTACTCTGTAGAATGGCAATGTTGGCAAACTGGCCGCTCAAATTATATATGTAAACTTACCAATTGAATCAGAAGCTCGTTCTGTGGCCATGATTGAGCAGTGCAATTGTCAAGAAGAAGCTCAAATCATTCAATTCAAATCCATGGACACCAAGAAGAGTCCCAAGGATTCAATGGCCCCTCACAGCTCTCTTGAGGTCGGAATCCCGAGCAGTCCAGGGCCAGGGTCAAGGCCGGTGCGCAAAAACTCTTTTTCTATCCAAGCTGTCTTCCAGTTGGAGCCAGCTAGGAGATTGAACAACTCTACAATCAGTGAAGCAAGGACTAAATTCGCAGTAGCTGTCAGCTGTCGCCTGATGAAGCGGAACAGTTGCCGAGAATTCATAATCAACACATTGTAATGCACGTGTATTTGGTGAATGATGAATGCTGTCCCTGAAGCGGCAGCGTACGAGCCCTTCAAAACGGTAGTCGCCTCATGCATCTCAACGTGCCATGCGCAACTCACTTCACGGTCTCACGCTGGTCCAAGCGCAGCCGCAGGAAAAGGATGAAGCTAGATAAGCCGGTCACGGCGCTGCATACCTGCAATAGGAAGTATGCCAATGACATGGGACGCGCATGGACACGGTACATGACCAAAAGAGTGGACGAGCTGACTTGGCCTGCAGCAGCCGAAGAAACCATCGATTCTGCCCAGCCCTCTCGAACTCCACAGCGCGCACCTGCAATCGACGTGAGTTGACACATGTTGAAACTCAGAACTCAGAACACCGTGATAGTTCCTGAATGATAGTTCCACCATGTTCCACCACTAGATTCTGCAAGATGCACACATCTTCTGCTTGCCGTGCTCTTGAAACTTCACACTCAGCCTCGTTGCACTTGGCAGAGAAGTGAACCACCGAAAGAGCACCACCAAGCCTCGACAACATCAACGCGAGAAAGTAGCAAGCACGGAAGTACCGCAGCTAATGCACACAGTGCATCTTTCCACCCAAAACTTGGCAAACTTGGACTTGGACCCCACTGGCGCCTGGGATTGTGGTCAACTGTTGTCTGAGTCCCGTACGCAAAAGTCACGCACATGGGTGCAACGGAGAGGACCAGCATCTAGGCAGTGCTGGAGCATCATCAGAAAAATGCAGGTGGGTTAACACAAATACATGCAAATGCAGTGATGCCTGCAACACACACTTGGTATCTTTGGCCAAACGCCTTTCATGATGTGACCTTGTCTTACGCACGCCCGCAGCCAACCACTTCATGCCAATGAGCTCCCGGACCTATCCTGCATTTACATTTTGCTTGGTCTATATAAATATGCGTGTCATTATATCACCACCTGCATCAAAGTCACTAAAGAGACTGTCCTTGATCTAGAACACAACATTACTGTATTACATTAATCAGTGAACTCGTGTGAACTCCAGGTGAAGCCAACCACCTGCCCTAAGCTTCCTGCCCCACGGAGAGCAGCGAGGGCCACTCGCCCGGGCCATCCCCAATGACCGGGAGGTGCGTGTTGCAAAATCGCATATTTCAGGAACGCTGCCTAGGATCGACAACACTGAACCCCCAAACCAAACACTTTCACCAATGCGGCGCCAATGCGGTCAATGCATCAGCTCTCTGCCTCTCCTTCTCTCTCCTCTAGCTTTATACGCAACAAGACCAGCCAGCAAAAGGAGTTCAAACTAACAAACTTTCGTTGAAGAGTTGAATCATCTTGAAAGCGTTTCACACCCTCATCACATTTTTCGGAAAACAGCGGTAAGGCTCATCAACATCACTGACTTGTCAACTGATAAGGTCCAAGCCAGTAGCGGCTGCTTTGGCGCCCAGGCGTGTTTCCCCACAAGTGCAGCCAGCTTCAGGCGGAGGGAGTTGCGGGCGTCCAGCAGCAAACACCTGGCCAGCGACTCATGGGGAGTGAGTGGCACGAAACCATGTCCACATGTCCATGGGGCTACTTTATCAAAGAAATGTAATCACATGTGCACTTTGTTTTGATATGTTTCAATTAATAACTAGAACATACTAAAACACCTTGTTATGGCTCAAACGCAAAGGCAGTCCAAGGCTCTAGTCATGTTGTGTCTTGTTCAATTGCACTGGATGCGAACAAGTGACAAGATTGCCCCAAAAGATGTTGTGAACCTGCAGGGGCACACAGCGAAAGCTCTTCACCCAAATCTGATCCCGGCATGTTGGGTGCGGCTTGTTTTTTCTGTTTCTGCAGGGACATCCAAAGGCGTCGCCCGAAAGGCAGCAATTGACAGGTTGCTTTCACCCCCCTGCAATCGCACAATTGCATCTGAGTGGCACAAGCAATTGCTCCCAGGCCAGCAAGCTGCACCTGATCGCTGGCCAATGTATGCAACATGAAGGAGGCATCATGGCTCCTCCTGCAAATTGCTGTTCATTATAATTGTTAAAGTGCAGCTGAAGACTCTTGTCAAACCTCTCAGCTGAATCTTTGCTTCGACCCAGGGCTCGTACCAAGCAGCGCTGACAGCACAGCGGTCAATCCTAGGACAGTGAGCGTCAAATTGTGAACAGCAGTGGCGTGGTGTACAGTTTATCAAAGGCAGTCCAAGTGAGAGGCTCAAGCCTGCAAGGTCGGACATTGTTTAGTGAGATTTCTCCACATTCCAGGTGGCACTTGTTTATCGCACTTATTTTCACCTTGATTCACCTCCATTTCTTCCTTCTTCCTTCCTCTTTTCTTTTGCTGTTGCTCTGCATTGCTGATGTCGACAGCCGACTCGCCTCCCACAGAAGCGAAGCCAGAAGCGAATCCAGAAGAAGACCAAACACTACCCAATAGGCCCAATAGTTCCCAACTACCCACTAGTCCGCCAGAGAGGTCCACCGCGATGGGCTCCAGCCCCGAGGACCAGATCAAGGTTACCCTACCTGATGGTAACGAAGTTTGGCTCCCCCGATCTAGTATAGCCCTCCCAGACCAGCAACATGACACTAGACTGCCGGAGATCAAAACAGAAGAGCCAGATGGATCCCGCTGCCCGGAATGCTCTCCTGAAAAACAATCCCTTTTTGACCTAAAGAAGCCCGTGCTCTACACCCGACTGAAGGCATTCAGGAGCCCCCGGCAGGTACCCCGCATGGTCCTTTTGAGGTCCAACCCCTGCACTCGAGACGTTGCACCGCCGTATGGAAGAGGTTTCCACAACACCGGCTCCCAGTGTGGTTACCGGGCTGCAGCTAGCTCAATTTACAGCGTCGTTGCCTGAAATGGGGCAAGTTCGACGGACGAACCCTCATCTTGGTTTCCCTTCCTCATTTTCGCCCCTGGGCAAACATTGAGCATAACATAGTATAACCTCAACATACCTCAACTATTTTCTTACACAGGCTAGTTTGCGCCATCATGATGATGTGCAGTCAGTGACACAGCATTTGTACAATGACGATTCTTCTTTGCTACGCATAGTGTTGCCCACGGAATCTTCATGCAAGCAGTTGTTTCAAACTTGGAAACGGAAACACGACTACTCGCACCAACGTACTCCTCAAGGTAACGTGGATAGACCCCTGCGAGTCGGAAGAGATTTCACGGCAGCGGAGCGGTTTGAAAGAGTGGCTCTCCAAACGTTGATGCATGTGTTTAACACGCTTGATGGCTCCCCGTTCAAAGGGCAAGCCCTCACCTCTTAGGGCATCTCCTACGCCATGAATACAGCCTAGAATACCTAGCTTCCTTCATGCCTTCCCATACCTACCGCACTTTGCGGGGAGACACTCTCCGTCGAGGCCGACCGCGTCCTCATTGGGCCGAACTCACCCTCTCAGAAGCTTATCGCCGACACCTCCACCTTTCCCATTCCCCCTCTCCCCCTCTTGCGGAAGTCAACCACCTTTTTTTTCAACCGCCCACGGCCACTGAAATCAGCGAACTTCATGGACACTCACTAGTCCACTGGAGGGACAATATACACCTCTATCGCACCCTCCGTACCGTTGCAAATCATCGGAAAAACTGGCAGCTCCATCCGCCTTCCGGTGGCTACTACCTATAGTAACAACTGCCCATTAGTACGCAACAAGTGCTTTCAGCTTTCAAGTTTCAAAACTTTCTTATAGTTACATTATCCTTTGGCGTTTTCTCAAACCGTTGCTTCCACCACTGGATATCGGGATCCGCGTCGAGGCTGACAGGGTAGTTTTTGAAGTATCCCTACCGCTTTGAAAACAAGTCCAAGTAAGGGTATGCTGCCACGAAACATTTTCTGCAATCCTGGGGTGGTCCTCCAGTCCTGGTAGCCGCTGCTAGCACTTAGGCAAATCAATTCCGGCTACTGGCACTTGATGCAAACAGAAAGCACCATTCACTCACTAGCACACAAAAGCCGCAATAGAAGGCTTTGAACCTCTGTCTCCAAGGGCAAGCTC